GACACTTTGACTTAAATTCTGCTCTGTGTGTTAAAGACTGAGGAGCTCAGCACAAACCTCTCGACATGTCCGGTGTTTTGACTCTTTTTCTGCCACCAAAGTCTCTGTCCTGGCAGAATGACAAAACACAGCTTCTCACATTTCCAAGGGGCAAAACAAATACGTTCCGACTGTGATGCTCCACATAACTCCTAGTTTGATTCAGACCAAAGCAGAAAGCCTCTCAGTTGAGCTTCAAAGACCTCCCCTCAGCAGAGGGATAAATGCAGAGCATCCCCCAGCCCCGTTCTGTGACCAGGTAAACTCTCGTTAATGGACGCTGCTGCTGTTGTTTACTGAAGACTCCCTGCAGAGGAGACTACCTGACCCATGTCTGCAACCAGTGAGTGGTACAAATGGCAAACATCTTTTGGAGTCATTATTTATGCAGGAATGCCCTTGGGAGTCTTTGCACTTGTTTACACAGTCACGGCACAGTCCATTCATGACGGCTCCGAGTAAATGAGCCGCTTGCAACCAATTTGTCCTGAACGAAGAAGCTTTGGGGCAGTTAGTTTGGGTGCATGTGGGGGTAGGGTAAAAAAAAAAGAAAAAAGGAGGTTAACAGCACCGCAGCAGTGTCGGGAAGCGACCTGGAACTACGGACACACTAGTCCCTGGGGTGTTGGGAAGCACGAGGTCACATTCGGAAATAAATGAGCACTTTTTTTTCCACGAGGAAAGCAATGGACTTTCACCTTTGAAATGGGCTGTTTATTTGCCGGAGGACGAGGACAGCGGTCAAAGTTACCGAGTGCTGCCTTCCACATAAAACCAAAACCTAGACGGAAATCTTATGGAGGTTAAAGTCTACGGCAACAAAGAAAAGTTTACCCAACATCTGCACCTAGGAATCAGGGCGACTCAGAAGGCCAGGGTTTGATCAACAATAACCGAATAACTGATCAAAAAGTTATTTTGCAGAAGTTGCTTCAGCAGATCACAGGAAGATTTTACAAATCAACAGAAAGTTATTAACATGGATGTAAAGATTAATTCAAAGTAGGGTGACCAGATGAGGTTGTCTGAAATTCGGGACTGGGCGCTCGCACGCAGTTGGGTAGGCTTGTGACTGCTAGTGGATGACAGTGAAATACGAATTTTATCTCGGCAACTTTATCATACAGTGTGTCATCCTGTTTCTTAAAAAAAGAAAACACCAGCGTGTTTCTTTGTACTGTTGTGGCATTCATACAGTGTAGTTTACTTACTTACTGTTGCAGTCAAATGGTAATAGAATGTCAGAAAGATGATACAATAGATGGATTGCATCCGGGTCGGCACGCATACACTTAAAATATTTGGGTCAAGCAGCCCCAGACAGCAGTGTACCTGGGGTTAAAAAGTTATTATTTGGTATATGTCTAAATTTCGCACAGCGACACGCACAGCCACGGATTCGGGACAAAAGCTTAGAATTTGGGACATTTGGACACCCTAATTCAAAGCAAGCAACACTAAAAGTTAGATTTATTTCACTACTAGAGCCGCTATACAGTAGCAGCCATGTAAAATGGCCCTTCCCAGTCAAACGCCAGTGGCGGCCCACTTCCCTGCAAGTCCCAGCAAAATCTCCTTCATGAACCCAAGATATTTTTTTACTCCACCCTTTCACTGAATTACAGTGTCTGACCAGGAGATGATGCTTCTCTTTAGATCTTAATGTCCACAGATCATGACAGGAAGAATATTTTAGTACAACGATTGATGTTTGAAAAGGAATTGTAGGGGAGCAGCCAAAGGCCAGCCAATGAACAGCCAAGGGCCAGCCAAGGATCAGCCTAAGAACAGCCTAGAACCAGCCAAGGATCAGCCTAGGATCAGCCTAGGCTCGTCCTAGGCTGATCCTAGGCTGATCCTAGGCTGTTCCTTGGAACAGCCAAGGATCAGCCTAGGATCAGCCAAGGAACAGCCTAGGAACAGCCTACGACGAGCCAAGGGCCAGCCTAGGATCAGCCAAGGAACAGCCAAGGACCAGCCAAGGGCCAGCCAAGGAACAGCCAAGGACCAGCCAAGGAACAGCCAAGGACCAGCCAAGGAACAGCCAAGGAACAGCCTAGGACCAGCCAAGGAACAGCCAAGGGCCAGTCAAGGACCAGCCAAGGAACAGCCTAGGACCAGCCTAGGACCAGCCAAGGACCAGCCAATGAACAGCAAAGGAACAGCCTAGGACCAGCCTAGGACCAGCCAAGGAACAGCCAAGGAACAGCCAAGGAACAGCCAAGGGCCAGCCAAGGAACAGCAAGCGACCGGCCAAGGACCAGCCAAGGAACAGCCAAGGACCAGCCAAGGAACAGCCAAGGAACAGCCAACGACCAGCCAAGGACCAGCCAAGGGCCAGCTTAGGACCAGCCAAGGGCCAGCCTAGGACCAGCCAAGGGCCAGCCTAGGACCAGCCAAGGACCAGCCTAGGACCAGCCAAGGACCAGCCAAGGGCCAGCCAAGGAACAGCCCAGGGCCAGCCAAGGACCAGCCAAGGAACTGCCCAGGGCCAGCCAAGGACCAGCCAAGGATCAGCCCAGGGCCAGCCAAGGACCAGCCAAGGATCAGCCAAGGCCCAGCCAAGGATCAGCCAAGAGCCAGCCAAGGAACAACCAAGGACCAGCCATCGATCAGCCAAGGGACAGCCAAGGAACAACCAAGGACCAGCCAAGGACCAGCCATCGATCAGCCAAGGACCAGCCAAGGGCCAGCCTAGGACCAGCCAAGGACCAGCCTAGGACCAGCCAAGGATAAGCCAAGGGCCAGCCAAGGAACAGCCCAGGGCCAGCCAAGGACCAGCCAAGGATCAGCCCAGGGCCAGCCAAGGACCAGCCAAGGATCAGCCAAGGGCCAGCCAAGGATCAGCCAAGGGCCAGCCAAGGAACAGCCAAGGATCAGCCAAGGGCCAGCCAAGGGCCAGCCAAGGACCAGCCTAGGACCAGCCAAGGATAAGCCAAGGGCCAGCCAAGGAACAGCCCAGGGCCAGCCAAGGACCAGCCAAGGATCAGCCCAGGGCCAGCCAAGGACCAGCCTAGGACCAGCCAAGGATAAGCCAAGGGCCAGCCAAGGATCAGCCAAGGGCCAGCCAAGGAACAGCCAAGGATCAGCCAAGGGCCAGCCAAGGACCAGCCTAGGACCAGCCAAGGACCAGCCTAGGACCAGCCAAGGATAAGCCAAGGGCCAGCCAAGGAACAGCCCAGGGCCAGCCAAGGACCAGCCAAGGACCAGCCAAGGATCAGCCCAGGGCCAGCCAAGGACCAGCCAAGGATCAGCCAAGGGCCAGCCAAGGATCAGCCAAGGGCCAGCCAAGGAACAGCCAAGGATCAGCCAAGGGCCAGCCAAGGACCAGCCAAGAGCCAGCCAAGGGCCAGCCAAGGACCAGCCAAGGGCCAGGCAAGGGCCTATAAGGAAAGTGGGGAAATTCTGAATGGCTACTAGTGTATATTCTGACTCATTTCCATGGCTTCCATTATACTAGAAAATTAAAATCCAACAAGATCTCAATATAAGGGCATGAAGTTTATTTTACTGTAATCTGTGTTGGTAATAATTCAGAGGCGTCTTCATCTGGTGGTTTTTCACATTTCTAGACTTCCTTTCCATTTGAGTGGATCTGAACTGGCATTGAAGTCTTACAATCCATGCATCTGATTTATGATTTAAATGAAGTGCAAGCAGCAAAGCAGTGAAGGCCCTGGCCTTTACCTTTTAATACCAAGGTTTTGGTTTAGTGGAGCAGTAAGAAAAAAATGCTGAGAAAAGTGGTTAAAAGAGAGACAGAGAAGATAAGGTGGAAGAAGAGATGAGATAATTTAACAAGCTCCCTCCTTAAGTACTCCAAAACCTCCGGAGTTGAATTGCTGGGAGGCAGCATTATCCCTAGCAACCCCGCTCTGGTCTCTTGGCCGGGATTCGGTGGGTACCTGCACTATCCACTCCCCACAATACAGCGCCCACTGAGCCATATAATCCTCTCAGGCCCTCCTCTTCTGGAGAACCACATTCCATTCCTTTGTGACATGAAAAAAAGAAATCACCTCAGATTTTTTTTTTTTGTCTGGGGTACGTGCTTCAAATAAGGCCAATCAGTAGGCGCCGTAATGCGAACACGATGCTACAGGGAGCCATAAAGAAAGAAGGGAAACAGAGAGGAAGAGTTAAATAAAAGGCCGTTTGATTTGCGGCCGTGAAATCCGGGGCTGATTTCCATTCCTCCGCAGAGCTCCCCGGAGCGGCCATATTTCTGTTTATGTTTAAATGTGAATCCGTCAGATGGGCGGTTTAGCTTCCTGCTGAATCATCCCACTCTCCTTCTCAGAAAGTGCGGGGTTACTTTTGAAGCAGCTGCCTCGTAGGAGAAAACAAGGAACCAACGCTACTTTCTTCCCGACTTCTCTTTCAAGTTGTCCTTGAAAAGAAATTACAACGGCAGCTTTGATGCAAACGCCTGACATGTTTCCAGATATTCTCCATCGGTGCAGACACCTTCTAGATTATTATCATTCCAGCCAGCTTGCTCAGATGCTTTTCGCCATCAGAGCGCTGAAACGGTTTCCACGCTCTCCGGAGGGACGAGGAAAAGAGGCTCGTTGCACCAAACAGCAAACGCAGAGAAATAACTTCTTTGTTGTCCAGTGGTTTGTAACTTAAGCTAATATAGCATTTAGAACCCTGCTGAGACGCCTTTCAATTAAAATTAAAAGCTTAATAATGAGCGATGACACAGGCGGCATACTGAGGAAGATTACTTGTATGGTTCCCAGAGTGCAAAGGAACTTTTTCCTTTATGCCTCATGTTCTGTGTGTGTAGGAAGGAAAATACCAACTGTGCAGATTTTTTTTTTTACTCTTTTGTTTTGTTTTTTTATACATTCCTCACAGCTTGCCAATTATATCTGCAGCAACGTCTTTTATGTCATTATGTCGGCAGAAATCTGTTTTGTTCAACTGTGCATAAAAAAATCCACTTTTTCCCCACTGGACCCAAAACCGGAGAATTCACTTCCTACCTGTTTGTAGATTCTAGGATTGGAAATCAGTAGCTGCTGCAGGGGGTGGAGTCCAGCTTAAGCGCCGTCCCTGTAAGAAAAAAGGGATACAATGTTAATTCCAGAAAAATACAAAACTATCAGCAGTTAAATTTCCTTTAGATTTTAAAAGAGAAAGGTTATGTTAACATAAAAACTCCTGTTTCTCTTGATATAATCTTTCTCTAAGAGAATCATCTAGACATATTTTAGACGTTCAGTTGCATAAAATCACTTTAAAAGCAGTGTTGGCACGGAAACTGAATGCTATTTTTTTGTCGTTTCTCCACTTAGAGGCTCACATTCTTCCTTCAGGAAGGTCCAATTGCTCTCCGTCCATCATCCTCAATCATGTAACTGCTCGCTTCCTCTGAATGTAAAAGTGTCTTCTTTATAGGTTTGGAATCGAACATTAAACCACTAATAAGGTTATTTTGGCCACAACTAATCCTGCCTGCTCTTTATCAAATCATCTCGCCTTCTTTTCCTCTGATCCATCATGGGCAGGTTAAATAGGTTCATGAAAATGGTTCAGAAAATGATCAGCTGGCCGATCAATCGGCCTAAATATCCTCATGTTTGATGTATCGAGATCAGCCGATACTTAGATGTGAAATTCGCCTTATCTATCTGGAAAGGGGGGAAACTCAGCCTCTTAATACTCTGAACGTTTCAAAGTATCTTGTTCAGTTAAAGTTATAGTGGTGGATGTTCTTTGGTCCTCCTAACTGTCAATCATTCTGTAGATACCTTTACTTAAGGCTGTCATATGTGTTTGTCGCCATTTTTAATTACTGGTGGCGAGTAGAAGCGGGTCCAAGGTTGTGCATGTGCATTTTTATTAGGCGGGTCTTTTCAAAAACTCCTGAAAATCCTCCACTACACCTTTCCTTTAGACGTGTTCCTCTGGTTTCATGGCTGATGTTCCTCAATTGTTTTCTTAAAAAAGAAATTCAGTATCATTCAAAATTGGCTTTTTAAATAGTACAGGTTATGCTGGTGAAGATTTGCAGTCATCCAGGTCTTTGTCATTCCAAAAAAGTAGAAAAAAAAAAAAAAACAATCCACTGAAATTTCTTTCCAAGTTTGAAGACTTTTTGCTTCCCATCCAGGAAGCTTTTTCAATTCAAAATGTCAGAAATAGGTTTGAAACTTTATACAAGGTTGAGACACACTTATTATAAGCGTTCTGATGGGATTTTAGTGAAAGGATTTTTATCAAAAACATAATTAATGTTAAGAAATAAGGAATAGTTGTATTAACCATGCATGTAAACAGAGTTTTATTGGACACCCAGGAACCTGGTAACCTCGTGAGACCATCCTGATCTCGCGAGCTTTCAAGATTTCACTCGCTAATCAGTCTGGAGACTCTCCGTTAAAGAAAATTTGGAGCCGTTCACGAAATGAACGTCCAATCAGCGTTGGCTTTGAGGCGGGTTGAGGTGTGACGCAACGAGAAGCGCGACAGTTCAGTCTAAAGAACATGGCGGCTTCAGCCGATGAAACTAGCGTTAGCGTGGCTATCGAGCAAGTTTTATCGGAATTACAGAGTATTTCTTCACTGAAAGAAGAGCAAAACACTGCTCTGGAGGCTTTTCTCAGAGGAAAAGATGTTTTTGCTCTTCTCCCGACTGGTTTCAGCAAGAGTTTGATCTATCAATTGGCTCCTCTTCGTCGTCGCTCTGTTAGTACGTCATATGCTTCGTTGATCTGATTGGTTTATTTGGCCCGTCTATCACCAACATAGGCCAATCAGCTAACCAGTATTTTCACCCCTTCCCAAAATTACTTCAACGGAAGGTTTCCAGATGGATATGCGGAGCAAATCCATCTGGCGGAGTCAGGTTAGGAACCTGGGGCCCTAGGTAACTGCCCAGTATTGACTAATGGTAAATCTGCCCCTGGTTCCCACATCATGCCTATCAGAGCAGAGGCGATTTTAACGCAGGTCGCTTGCCGATTCATTTGACCCAGGTAGACACGTGTCATGGAGCTGTTCACACTGCCATTAAAAGCCAATTGTTCCTGAATTTAAACGGGTTTTTCAGCCACTAGGAGACAACAAAACTTCTAATTTTTTTGTTTCAGCCACTTTCTTCTCGTCACCATGTAGCCTACCCGTCAAAACGATCTCTTCCTCAAGCTCATTGCTGTAAAATAAAACTTTAGAAAGGTACTAGCTTGGATAAATTATCCACACACGCTCTACTTTTTAATCTGTAAACGAACAACATTTGTTATTTTTAATCTCTTCAAAAATGAAGTGCCCGTGAAGCCTTTAGTAAATAAATATGGTTGAGCTTTGTCTCCTGCAGTCTGAGTACTAATACTAGATTTGGACGTTAAAGATCTGTTTTATTTATAATGGAAGCACTGAAGGGTAAATTTGATTTCAAAAGTTTCATAGAAATCAAGCTAAAAAAAAAAAAAAGTAGAAAAAGGTGTTTAATGCAATTCCCAAGAAAATGAATTATTGGCTGAGTTTCAATCAAGCAGTTCCTCCACGTAGGAGCATCTACTGTTACAAACACGTCACGCTGCCATCAAGACAAGGCATCAGAAAAGCGAGACTGTCTGGAGATATTTGCCTCCAGGCCTTTTTCTGGCTAAAAAAAAAAAAAAAGGTTCTGTACAATAAAAGACAAAGTCACTGCAAAGACCGATCCGCAGTAGCAGGAGAGATTCAATCATCCAAGGATCCCAGGCAGCAGTTTTATTCATTTTATTCATTATTTATCTTTTCTCCATCTAATACACCAAGAATGCTTTTCTGTAGATGTTAATAATTATAAAGTATCCTTGTTTTTTTTGGTACTTTTTAATGCATTTAAAATTAGATGTTGGAGATTGGTTTTTCAGTGTAGTCCTGTTTCTCTGACTGTGGATATGCTCTTTCATCCTCTTACATGGGAGCTGTGTTTCCTGGACGGGGCCGCCTTTTACAGCTGCCTTTTGTATCTATGCTTCTTTTTCTATGTCTGCTTCTGTCTCCTTGAACCCCAGTGGGCCTCAGCAGATGGCCGCTCACACTGAGCCTGGTTCTGCTGGAGGTTTCTTCCTGTTAAAAGGGAGTTTTTCCTCTCTACAGTCGCTACAAGCATGCTTAGTGTGAGGGATTGCCTTCGAGTCAATGAGTCGATGCAATCAGCTGGTTTTCTTTAGATAGAAAACTTTGAATCAATTTGACATGTTGTGAATAGGCGCTATAGAAATAAACCAAACAGAATTGAACGTGTTTATATAAATTTGTACCAAAGAGCAGAGATGGCAAAAGTACTCACTTTCCGTACTTGAGTAAAAGTACAGATACTTGTGTTAAAAAATACTCTGGTAAAAGTGGAAGTACTGATTAAACTTCTTTACTCAAGTAAAAGTAACAAAGGCTTGTAAATTTACTTAAAGTATAAAAGTAAAAGTAGAAACCACTTTTTTCATGCCGTTGCCTACATTTTAAATGGATGTCTGCCAATAGGACTAGATCTCCGTTGTGTTCATTTTCAATCATCTCGTCGTCCATGCTACTATGCTAACGCCACCGCCACCAAGCTGCAATGATTTGCCGCCAATGAATACCGCCGAATCTGTCGATTCATCTTGTAGCGGTGCGTCAAATGCAACGTAGATTCCCATCCAATTAGATAGAATTTGGTATTGATGACGGGAAAAATAATAACGGTAACTCCATTGAAATGATTCAAAACTAAAGTAACGAGCCAATTTTTTAAAATGTAAGGAGTAGAAAGTACAGATATTTGTGTAAAAATGTAAGGAGTAGAAGTAAAAAGTCGCCATAAAAATAAGTAGTAAAGTAAAGTAAAAATATCAGAAAAATCTACTTGAGTACAGTAACGAAGTATTTGTACTTCATTACTTCCCATCTCTGCCAAAGAGTCATTTTATTATTGAGAATTAAAAATGTTCAGTAGAAAGTCAAAACTTTCTCTTCTTTCTTTAATCCTCAGGCTCCAAACATCTAACAACTAATGACAGATATAATCTGATGATGATTGAAATGATTTCTTATATCTGAGAACTCTATTTGGACCCATACTGTCGGGGGGCGGGGGGGGGGGGGGGGGGGGGGGGGTATCCACAGCTGTGAAATAATCCGCTTTTAAAGCCTCAGTGAGTTTTCCAGAAGGACAGAGTTAAAATAAACCACAATATGTGTTCATCAGTTTTTGGATCCCAGCAAAGCCCTGGGATCCAGCAGCATCTGATAGCTTCGCCTGCTTGGTCCACGTTGGTTCTGGTCCAGTTTACTTTGCAGAGAAACTCAGAAACTTGCCAGCTAAATAATAAACGGAGCTGAAAAGTTTTCGGCAGCAGAGAGGGAGCCGAAGTACCTGCATGAGCTCAGCTGCTCTTTAATGCAGCTGCTCTCATTTTTTTAAAGCCTTCTCCCTGAGCCAAGTCTGCTGCAGGAGAGAAGACTGCGAGGTTGAAGGTCGGCTCATAATCCATAACAGATAGTTGAGATTTGCCACGCTGGCTTCCAAGCCTTATGAAAGTTGTAACGGGCCTTGGCACGATCGCTGATGCTAACAAATCCAAACTGTGAGGCTTCTGCTCGTTTTGCAGTCGGGCCACGAAGGTTGTTTTGATTTGTTCGGGTTAAAAACGTCAGCGGATCCGCTCCCAGGCGCTGCTGGGGAAACGTTAGCGCTCGGTCACGGCGATCCATATAACGCCAGATTATAGAAAAGGTCGGTAACGACCCTGCAGGGGCGGCGTCTGTGTGACCCGCAGGCGTTCGCCATTAGATCCGTCTAACAGCTGAGGAAAAGCAAGGCATCATGAGTGCAGTTCTACAGCCTGAACATGATCAGGTACATGCAAAGTGACAAGCTGAGGTCTGGGAGGGCGCCGGACTCGCTGCAGAGGTCACACGCAAACATAACAACGATACAGCAACTGTGCTGACAGGAGAAAAAGATGAGAACTTCACAAGCACTGTGAAATGTATGAAGAAAATAGACATAAGGGTCATTTTACTGAGCAGCACCATTAACATTGCTGCCCTTGTCTGGAATGAAGCTGGGATCAGTC